CCAAACCAGATATAGTCGCACTGCAAAGGGGCAGGAGAGAAGCTCACAACCAATTCCCCTTTTCAAGCCCAGAATCCCCCGTACAGCTTAAGGAGTCTTCCTGACAGGTGTTGGGTTGCTCTGTTCTGGGGCAGCTTTTTCCATATTTAAGGGAGAATTTCTTTCTGGGGAAAACTCCCCCACCTCCCACCCCCAGCTGCCTATGAAAACAGTTGTCCTCCTTATCCCCCTTGATTGGCCTCTGCCTTCCAGCCTCCCCACTCCATCCCTACTCCACCTTGCTTGTTTGCATCCTCTCTTTGGGGGATTTCCTCCAGTGGCAGCTATACAGGCAATGGAAGCACTGGGCCCAGGTGGAGCAGCTGCTAGGGGACTCAGCCATGATGGTGAGGACCTGGGGGAAGGGACACTTGGCCATCAGGGACCCTGGTCGAGGGTAGATTCCAGCCTTCCTCCCAATGTATCTGAGGATTCCAAGGAAGGAAGAAAGGCATGGGCCACTGTGCAGCAGCAGAGGTCAAGGGGAAGGCCCTGAATGCCGAATTGGATAAGTAGCCCCAGCTCCAAGTCTGGCATAGGGGGACAGTCTCCAGGTGTTTTCTTTTCCTTTAATCTTAATACCAGGAAAGTCAGTGGGCTACCAGGAGGCCCTACCTCTTTGCACACACACCCTTTCTCTGAATGCACCCCATTTAACATCAAGCTTTGTAGATGGAGTGCTTGTTCTAGGTGGAAACTCATGAGAAACTGCCCTGGGTGGGACAAACTCAGCAAGTTGAGTCATATCTGGCCAAGCTAAGGCAGCTCCCATGATGGGGCAGACTTCCGCCCCAGGAACCAGGAGTAACCTGAAGCAGAGGCTTGTTATGACCTGGGACTAAGGGGTCCCAGCTCGCTGGCCAGTTGCTATGGATACAGAGATTGCACACATCACAAAGCCCAGAAAGAAAAATTTTGTTTCCACCTCCCCAGAAGCGGAAGGCACTGCCAATAAAATAAAGACTTGAAGGGAACAGTTTCCTAGATCACTCTTAACCTACTTTGTAGTTGTTGTGATGTGCCATGGAGTCAGTTCTGACTCATAGTGACCCTGTACAGGGTTTCCGAGGCTGTAAATCTTTACAGAGCAGAAAGCCTCCTTTTTCTCCCATGGAACAGCTGGTAGTTTCAAACTGCTGACCGTGAAGTTCGCAGTCCGATTTGTAACCACTACGCTACCCCATTTTCTACCCATGTACCCCTGGAAAATCCAAGCCCTCTGTCTGTCTTGCCCCTTCCTGCCCAGTCATCCCCCTATCCCAAACAGGAACCTAGTCCCTGCCTTCCCCCTTTCTGGGGCCCCACCCTTTGAGTTAGCTTCGGTGAAAGTACAGCAAATACAGGGCAGGGTGTGTGTGCTGGGAGAGGCATGGCTATCTTGGGTTAGGGGACCTTGTGCTTCTGGGTCTGATTGAGATGGAACTGATTTACTGATCCCTAAGCTGTCCTGTGCAATTGTGATTCTGCATGAGAGGGTATATGATTTATGTCCACACATGTATGTGTGTGCACAAGTGGCTATCAGTACAAATGGATTTCTAGCTGATTTTGAGTATACAAGGGAACCCCTGGATAAACTAAAAGAGTGTATGTATGCATGGGGTGGGAGGTGCTCCTAAGGGATACAACCCCTTGTTCTCTGGACTACTCTGTGGAGCTGGGTCCCTGAAAGGAGAAAGGATGTGGTGGGCAGAAAATTACTCCTGAAACTTCTCTATTGATCTGATGCTCACCTTGGGGAAGTAGAGTTAGAGTAGGGGGTAGAGGTTGGGGATGGAGAGAAAGGGAAAGAAAGGAAACCTCTTCCTGTGCAGAGACCCCACCCAGGAAAAAGCCATCCCAAAGAGAGGCTCTTATAACTCTTCCCACCCCAAGACCGATTGATGTAGCCTGCCCTGGACTCTAGTATGCACCTCCTGCCTTGCCTCAGGTCCTGTCTTTGTACTCCAGACACTATTTTCCAGAATCCCACCTATCTGTAGGATGGGCTCAGGGAGCTAAGGTGTGCTGTGATCCTGGGCCCAATCCCTGCTGGCTGGAACTGTTCTCCACCCTGTCCTCCCAACTGTAACCCCCAGCCTGCCCAAGCCCTCACACCTCTTTTCAGTGGTAGCTCTGTTCTTCTCAGCACTGCACTGCTTCTCAGCTTCTCTCCGAGTTGTCTGCCTCCTCCTTCTTCCAGTCTTTGGCTCAGCCCCACTAGTAAAACAGGTGCCACTGTTGCCACCTATAGGAGGCTGTGCAGGTCCTCTCAGAAGGCCTGCAGCTGCTCTATGGCCTGTGCCCCATTGGGTGGGAAGATGGAAAGGAGGAAGGGGGAGGGAGAGCAGATCTGCTTCTTTACTCACTGGCGGTCAGGGGGATTGGGGTGAGGAATTCCTTTGTGCAGCCTTCCCCCATCTCTCAGTCCCTCCTCCAGTTCCCCTCCCAGTCACTGCAGGGCTTTGTCCTGGCTCAGAGAAGAGAGGGCTGAGGGCGGGAAGCTGGGAGAGGGGTGGTGAACACACAACTTTGTAACTTGGCAGTGAAAAGGGGCCCAGCCTCTGCTGCCCTCACACCCCCCTCCACAAAGGTGTGTGTGTGAGCAAGTCTAGCATCTAGTCTCAAGTTTTCTGGGAGTATACAGCTTTCATTCATCAACCTCCCTTCACTCCCGGGCTCCTATTTCCACCTTTGCAAGATGCATTTATGAGATGTAGTTGCAAGCTAGTTTCTGAACTCTGGGCAGCAAGTCACCTTATTTCTGGACTAAGGGTCCCCATGAATCTTGTGGATCCTGGGTGACACTAGCAACCCTTCCCTCCCCACATCACCCCAAACAGGAGATGCTCATTGAGGACACATTGAGACTTTCATCACTCCTGCTGTCTTGTCTCCAAGGCATCTGAAATCTTGTTCCAAGAATTACTTGAGTTTCTGTTAGGGTCAAAGAGTGTTGGAAGCTAATATAATAAGTGGACCTGAAAACATACATAAGATGCTGTTACTACATCATTAGCAGGAAAGGGCTGGCTGGCAAGTTGTAGAATCAGTTTAGCTGTAAAGCACAGGTCTCTGGGTGGAATGGGCCAGGGGCTGGCTTTATTCATCTTCCCACTCTATCTTTTTGCTGTTGCAGTGATTCAGAGTCTTGGTGGTACTGTGGCTTAGGCATTGAGTTGCTAATCACAAGGTTGGCAGTTCAAACCCATCAGCTGCTCCACGGAAGACAGATGAGTCTGTTTGCTCCCATAAATATTTAGTCTTGAAAACCTTACACATGATCACTATGAGCTGAAATCGACTTCATGGCAGTGGGTTTGGTTTTTTGGGGTTTAGCACAGTGTTGGTGGGAAAGGATGTCTTCTCTGGGGATATGCCAGTTTACCCCTCCCCCACATGCAGTAGATTTGCAACAGTGAGAAAGAAGACAGGCTCTCTTATGCCAAGAGCCAGCCCCCCTCCCTCTGCCCTCCCATTGTATCCAGAGGCTCTATTTGGCAATAGCGGAGACTCCCTTGCTCCCTCTGCATTATAATGCAGAAAGGAGGGCTGCCTGCTGGCAGACGGCCAGGGAGGGCTGCCAGGTCACCTAGTCCTCCTGCATGCTTCATTCTAGGCATGCTGTCATTCAATTTCCTTTGCTAGAGCTTTGGTGAATTCTAGAGGAGTTTTGGTTTTAGTGTGCCGAATTCATGGAGGTGGTTTGGGAGATTTTAGTTGGTGGGGGTGGGGGATAATGGGACTGGGATTCAGAGCTCATGGATATGAGTTCCAGGACTTGAGAAATCCTCAGTCAGCAGCAATGTATGGTATTCCAGGGATAGCCCCTTTTAGCTTAAGTTGAGATGTAGAATCCTGATGTCTAGTAAGGAGTAAGCCATACCCTTGCTCCTTCCTTTCAAAGAAGCAAGCAAGCAGCCAGTGCTATCTCATCCCAGGATCTAACAGCAATGTGATTCCATGTTCATTCTATACTAAGAAATCAGGCTTCAGACCTGCTGTTACAGAGTCACACAGGTTTGGTGTTAAACCTGGGTTCCAGTCCTAGCTCTATTAGCCACTAACTTAGTGTCTTTAGATAGAGTACTTAATTTCTTAGGTATGCTGTCATTCAATTTCCTTTGCTGAAGCTTTGGCGAATTCTAGAGGAGGAGTAAATGCTATTTCCTCTCAGATCTAGAAGTTGGGCAGATTTCATAAGGGATGGAGGTCAGGCCACTGGCCTTGCTAGCTTTATTCCAATTTCCTAGGGTAGCAAAACAACATAAAAACATAACAGCATGCTCTACACAACCCTTTGGGAAACAGGGCAGCTACAAGGCAGGAAGACTCAGGTACTTTCAGTGAATCTCCTTAACAGCTTTCCTAGGGACTGAGGAACACAGGTTAGAATTTTATTTCTTATTCTAGCAGAGAAGGATCTTGCTAAACATTTAATAATACTAAAATTTATTTATTTACTTAACATTTAAAAATGTTTCATTACCTCAGTAACATGGAAGACAATTGAAAGTACTATTTAAACAAATTAAATCCAGAGAAGGGGAGAGCAGGAAGATCCCAACCCCGTTTATAAGGTAAGGGTGGGGGACGTGAGCCAGGCCTCCATACTAGGCCAGACTCTTCCATTAAGTTGAGACAACCTAGAGAGAGAAAGGCTCAGCCTTAGCCCCATCAAGTGACAGCTTTAATTAATCATAGAAGAAAGAGCTAGATTGTATTGGGAACTGTTTCCCAATGAGTCAGTTATTAGGAAGGCCAGCTGGTTCTCTCTTCAGTGGGTGGCTTAGCACTATTCTGGAGAAGACAGAGTAGTAGTCTGGTGTTGGGAAGATGGTCATTGAGGGCCAATATCCAAAAGGTTCCATTTTTCAACAGCAAGAAACAGAAAGCCAGAGGAGTCTTCATGAAACCCCTTTTGGCTGCAACCTGAAAGCATCTCCCAAGTCAAATTGGGGCTAGAGATGATGATTCAAACTTCAGTGGGTCTCTTCTTCGATAGGGGAACAGCCAGAGAAAAAGCTGGTATTACTGGCCAGAGTTCGTTTCTTTTTCTTTCCTGGGGCTTTATTTTCTTGGGATTCTGCTACAGGCTTCGATTCTGAGAGGTCATGGGAAGAGGAAGCCGGGGTTGTCAGCTTTAACAGTACCGGGTCCACGTCACACATCTTTTTCAGGATCTAGGAAGGACAGAGACAGGGTATGACTAGATCTCTGCTAGAGGCAGAAGCAAAGCCCAGCCTAGCCAAGCCAATAAAACTATTAAAAACACTCCCAGAAGTATGAGCTGTCCTGTAAGGTTGCTGTATGCAAAAAGAAAAAAAAAACAAAAGACTTACACCTTTTCTCCACATCAATTTCTGGCTGAGATGAAAAGATGGACACTAATATAGTTGGAAACACCCCTACCTTGCTGTTGGGAGTGGCACAAACAGAATTGAAGAAACTCAATCCTGGGGTCACCTCTGTGGGATCCTCTAGTTTGAAGGAGCCTTCGGAGTCCTGGGTCCGCTCAATAGTGTCCAAGCTATTCTGAGAATTAGGTAGACAGGTGTATTATACATTTAGCTACCAGGGTTACAAAACCAGTCTGTTCTCCTTCAACTAGTCAAGTACCAAATAGCTCTGAGAGCCTGATCAGTAAGTCTATGTAAGTTTTAAGGAGACCTTGCTTGGGGAGCTTGTAGTGCTTAACATAATTTTTCCATGAAGGTATAGAGCAATGCTTGGAGGAAGCCTCTGAAAGCACAGGAGTGGGCAGGATAACAGCACAGGATATATCACAAGACAAGGTTTAAAACAAGACCAAGCCGTGGTCAGTTCCCTCTTTCCAATCTATATGTCCTTTCTAGCATCCCTACAGGGGTGTCATCTGTGTTAGTCTTCATTTCAGATAAGAAAATTGAGGTTAAGAGAGATATATTACTTAGGTAATAAGGTGATTCTGTAATGAGGCTTGAATTACAGAATTACATACTATTATCATAGAAACACCATTAGATTAAGAATCAGAAAGCCTGAGGTTTGATCTTCGCTGTCATGACCAACTGTGCATTATTAGGCAAGTCACTGAAGCTTATCTCTGGGCCTTAGTTTTCTTCTCTGTAAAATGGAAGCATTTGACTAGATCAGTGTTTTTTACCCATGAAATCTTAAGAAAAAGCACAATAAGTAAGCAAGTAAAAGCATGTTGCTCTGGCTGAAATGAGGCCAAAGCAATCTGACTCAGGCCACTTTTTCTGCCCAAGGAAGTTTCAAAGAACCACTTGAAGACTCTAGAGCCCAATTTGAAAAACCACTGGAATAGATAATCTTTGAGGTCCCTTCTACTTCTATAATTCTTAGCCTGACCTCTAGCTTGACACTTTAGTCCTCTGAAGTCTTTATCTCAGAAGTCTTTCTAATAGAACACCCAAGGCAACACTGTTCACATGTAAATGTTAAAGAAATACATGCTGCATAATCACTAAACAACACTAGCTAGAATGATTGTCAGTCACAGAGAGCTGCAGTAATGAGTTTTTGCTATGGCACAAGTATAGGCAAGTATGGGGCTCTGATCTGTTTGGTGCTGCTCTTCTCAGGGCACATTTTATTTCCCTGAATTTGTTATTCCTGCAAGCAATATAAGGAGGAAAGGTACAGTTAGCTTGGCCACAATAATGATTGTTTCCCTTAAGAAGGTCTAATAACTAATGTCTCAAAGTGTCAGAAGGTTTAACTTACTTAGCATGTGGCACTTGCTGTTCCAGCTATGCCAACAGACTAGTTTGATCTTGCTTGTTTATATGCCTGTAAAATGCATGTTTTTCTGGGGTTTTTTCCCCCCTTTATTTTCCTTTTCCTGCCTCAGAAACCGTATAGAAACTGTACATCCAAGACTGGGAGTGGGGCATGCCATTTAGGCAAGGTAATCAATCAACTGTATTCCTGGAAATCTCAAGAGAAGGCTATGGGTTATGAAGCTGTTGTGTGGAAAGGCTAGCAGTGAGGAAGAAGGATTGAAAAGTGAAATGTTTCTGTTTCTGGGTACAAAGGGAAGGAGAAGGGTAGGAAGAGCTGTGAAAGAGCTTCCATGTTTCAAGATGGAAGGCAGAAGAAAAGAGTAGAAGCTAGCAGGAGGTCTGAAGGGATGGCGATGAGCAAAAACATTAATCCTACCTTGTCTTGCTTACGGTTCCTACACTTTGTAGGGTCACAGCTGCAGTCCATGCCACAGTCTGACTTTTGTTTCCTGCACCCACATTGCTTGTTCCCACACCAGCCCTTGCAGGAACACTGCAAGACAAGTTTGTAGAAAGATAGATTATTATGAAAAGGTTAGAAGATGAATTTAAAGCGCCCTCCTATCATTTCTATGCCTTTCTAGACAAAAATGGAAAGTACCATCATCTTTACCAAGCTTCTGTCTCCTCAGTCCTCTCTTTTTAGTGAAACAATGATCATCAAAGTTTACTAAGCACAAATCATGCCAGATACTCCATTTTCCTTTTTAGACAGTATACTTAAGCAGACACATTAGAGGGGTGGCATAATAACACCAAGCAACTAACAAAGACTATCATAATATTATGGACAAACTGAAGAACTGAAAGCTAGATAATAGTATGTTGTTGTTAAGTGCCAACGAGTCAGTTCTGACCCACAGTGACCCTGTATAGGGTTTCCAAGGAGTGACTGGTGAGATTGAACCACCGACCTTATAGTTCAAATGACTTTGCAGTCTGGCACATTAACCCACAGCGCCACACCAGGACTCCAGTTAATAGTATAGTCAGGCATTTTTAAATAATGGGTTTAGTTGCTCTGAGTCCTGGTGTGGTGCTGTAGTATAAGCACTGGACTGCTAATTGCAAGGTCGACAGTTCAAACACACCAGCCATTCCTCAGAAACCCTATACAGAGTTGCTGTGAGTCAGAACCAGCTCAATGGAACTTAACAACATAGTTGCACAGTATCTGTACATCTATTGCTAAGTGCCCTTGAGTCAGTTCAGACTCATAGAGACCCTGTACAGGGTTTCCAAAGGAGTCCTGGTAGCAGAGTAGATTATGAGCTGGGTTACTAAGCACAAAGTCAGCAATTCGAATCCACCAGTTGCTCTATGGGAGAAAGATGAGGCTTTCTTCTCCCATAAAGATTTACAGCCTCAGAAACCCTATGTTGGGTCACTATGAGTTGGAACCAACTCAGTGGCACACCACCACTATATTGTTTCCAAGGAGCAGCTTGTGGGTTTGAACTACCAACCTGTGGTTAGCAGTACAGTGCTTATCTTAAAGTACCATAACATGACTCCTATTATACTTTCATCCAATTCACATTTCTAGATTTTGTCCAGTGTCAGCCTGGGCTTTGTCCTTAGCACTTTACTCATTCAACATTTTAATTAATCACTGATATGAAATAAAATCACATACATTTATACAGTACTTTACAATTCTTAGTACTTTCATAACTAAAGTTTTATTTGAATCTTATATTCAGTTTACAGGCTAGGCATTGTTTATCAACTATAACAATGACATAAAGCTGGAAGGATGATTAATATGTAAGACAACAGAAACACAATACAAAATATTTTGACAGATTGGAATTATGGAATTCAGAAAGAAAAAATTTAACAGAGATAAATATAAGTTTGGTATTTAGGTTCCCCCACGTCAGCCATATAAAACATAGGATAGGGGATGAGATCTAACTTAAAAGTACTTTGTGCAAAAAGGGCCTAGGGATTTGAGGTGTCAGCAAGCTGCATGAGTCAACAGTATGAAATGGCTGTGTAAAAGGAAATGCAGTCAGGCAGAAATTTGGAGTTCAGAAAACACGGGGAGCAACTGTTTCACTGTAACCTGGGTCAGTAAGACCACATCTGAAATAATGCATCCTCTATTTAGGGCATCATAAATTTTTTATGCATACAAAAGCGTAGATAATGAAAAGCCCACTAATATTCCTACCACCCCATTTAATAAAACACAGCTGTAACTGTTTCCTTTCCTGATCCTATTTGTCTTCCTCCCTCCTCCCAAAGATACATAGTCTCTCTTTTTTTAATTGTCATCTGTCTATGGTTTCCGAGGGATGGTATATTATTCTCATAATAAGAGAAAATATAGTGGTTTCTTTTGCTTTCACAATTACAGAATAAAAGTGATAGTTCTCATTATGAAAAAGACGAAGGGTTTCAGTTTGACTACTAACTCAGTATGAATCTGCAAAGATATTACAAGGAAAAAACTGGATTTTTTTATGTCTCAGTAGCAGAACTATTGGGTTCACAGCAAAGGAGATATTTATCTCAGTCTACTTCACAATTGTCAAAACCACTAGTACTGGTGTGGCACTGTAGGGTAAGCACTGGACACCAAGTCAGTTTAAACTACAAGGTTGGTGGTTCAAACCTACCAGTTGCTCCTCAGAAACCCTATACAGGATCGCTGAGTAAGAACCGACTTGATGGCACTTAACAACAATAACAACAACAACAACCTTATAGTCAGTGAATAATACTACCTTGCTACTCACCCCTGGTGGAGTCCTGGTGTGGCACTGCAGAATAATGTGCTGGACTGCAAGGTCAGTTTGAACCACCAGGTCAGTGGTTCAAACTAACCAGGTGCTTCTCAGAAACCCTATAAAGGGTTGTTATGGGTCAGAACTGACTTGAGGGCACTTAACAACAACACCCACCACTGGTAACCATTGTAGGATATGATGAAAGGTTTAGCATGAAAACCTTTTCTTGAGTTTTTACAATATTGGTCTCATATAATATTTGTCCTTTTGTGGTCGACTAATATCCTCCAGATTCATCCATGTTTTAAACCACATTAGTTTCTACAAAAGGATAAGGGATTGTTCTACATGGTTTTGAACTTTATAAATGGCATCTTATTATATATTAATACATGTAATTCCAGTTTCATTTATTTTCACTCTATGAACATGTCACAATTTATCCATTCTCCTGATAGTGCCATTTTTTCACTTTTACAACAATGCTGCAAAAATAATAGCTAACATTAATGCAGACTCCTAGTGTGGCACTGTAGGATAAGCATTGGACTGGCAAACCTCAAGCTTGGTGGTTCAAACCCACCAACCACTCCTTGGAAACCAAAAACAGGGTAAATATGAGTCAGAAATGAGTTGACAGCACTTAACAACAACAATATTAGTGTATGCCAGGCTGTTATAAGTACTTTCCATGTATTGTTATTGTTGTCAGGTGCCATCGACTCATAGCTATCCCATGCACAGCAGAATGAAACAATGTCTGATCCTGGGCTAACCTCACTACCACTGCCACACTGGCCGATCCATCTCGTTGGGGGTCTTCCTCTTTTTCTCTGACCCTCCATCTTACCCAGTATGACATCCTTCTCCAGCGACTATTCCCTCCTGACAATATGTCCAAAGTATGAGAGATGAAGTTTAGCCATCTTGGCCTCCAAGGAGCACTCTGGCTGCACTTCTTCCAAAACAGATCTATTGGTTCTTTTGGCAGTCCATGGCACTTTTAGTATTCTCCTCCAACACCACAATTCAAAGGCATCAATTATTCTACGATCTTCCTTATTCACGGTCCAGCTTTCGCATCCATATGAGGTTATTGAAAATACCATGGCTTGGGTCAGGCGCACCTTAGTCCTCAAGCTGACATCTTTGCTCTTCAACACTTTAAAAAGTTCCTGTGCAGCAGATTTGCCTGATGCAATACGTCGTCTGATCTCTTGACAGCTGCTTCCGCGAATGTTGATAGTTGATCCAAGAATCCGTTGATAAGAATGTTGTTTATTGGTCCAGTGGTGAGGATTTTTGTTTTCTTTACATTGAGATGCAATCCATACCGAAGGCTGTGCTCTGTGATCTTCATCAGTAAAGGTTTCAAGTCCTCTTCACTTTCAGCAAGCAAGGTTGTATCATCTGCATATCATAGGTTGTTAATAAGCCTTCCTCCAATCCTGACACCACGTTTTTCTTCGTAGATGTATTAAGTCCATTTAATACACAAGCATGACTCCTTATACACACATTCTATAGTTCACTGTACGTATATGTTTAATAAAGAGGACGCTAAAGAAAAAAAGAAGCAATGTTATAAGAAAGAGAGTGGGATGGTTTGAGTTGGAAATGACATAGGTGGCAGAGCTCTCAGAAATTAACAGATTTGGAGAGAACACACAAGATGGCGGATCGGGTGGAAATGCAGTAAAGGAGCTCAGCCAGTAACATCACAGAATACCTGAACAAACAGGCTCAGGGGCTGGTCCCAGAACTCTGAGCCACATATAAAGGAATATTTAGAAGGTTAGAAGGCTCACAGCTGGGGGAATTTGTGGCAGAAGCAAGAAATCTATTGCTTTCTAGTCCGGGACGC